ATCCAAGTCTTCTATGGGGGAATTAATTTTTAAAGCAAAATTTGAAATACTGTCAAAAATCAATGGCTCTGCACACCATATAGGAACCTCTTACTCCTTTCGTTCCCTCTCTTAGAGTTACCTGTTCATTGTGAGAGGATCTAAGTGCTAGGCCCTGTACCTTCCTAAATGGTTTGGAATTGGAGCCAGTCTTCTCTCTGTTCTTCAATCTAGGATGCTGTCCCAGCTGAGTCTGAAATCTTCTTTACCACATAAGGCCTTACTACCACAATTCCTGCTTCTCCATTCCATTTAAAAGAAATTAACTACTTGAGTATTTGGTGAAAAATCCGTGTGTTGAATTGCATGTGCCTTTAGAGCAGTTTTTGCTTTCTGATTTCTAGAACAGAAAAAAAAGCCACAGTCAGCTCAGTGCTGTATTAAGAAAGATCGAAGGCAGAAAGACAAAATGCTTTAGCACAGTAGTCACTTACCTTGTCAGCACGGAACTAGTCTCCAATCTTTTTGAAAACCAGACCTCAGCCACATCCTACTGCAGGAGACACGGGCTCAAGCACATGACTAGGGACCACCACTCAGCCCAGCCCTAAGGGACAACAGCTCCAAACTGACCCAGAGACAGCGAGGAGATGGTGCAGAATGTTATTGTCATGCTGCACCCTGGAGCTCTGGGGCTGTGACAGAGGATGGCAACCCAGATGATAAGAGGGAAGAGTAAAGGCACACACACAATGCAATTTTATGAGGGAAGCTATGAAGACACCAAGTTTACAGCTAGAGGCAAAACCAAAGAGCAAAAAGTTTGCTTAGGGCCAGGGCTACTGTGCTTTGGCATCTTTGGCATATGCAATTGAAATCCTCCTTTTTCAGTTTGATTACTTTGAGTTTCCTGCCTCTGTGACTTTTTTCTCCCATGGGCTGTATTTATTTCACCAAAGACAGCTTTTTCCTGGCAGAGTACTCTATTGTGAAGTCTTTGGTGGCTTCTACAGTTTAAAACAATGTGGACTACAGACTGTCACCAATACCTCCAGCAGACAGACGGGATGTGAGAGCACAGTGATATTACAAGCATTTACAATTGGATTTTCCACCCCAGCTCCTTTTTTCACATCAAGGCACTAATCTCCTCTTCAAGTACAAGCCATTATGTTGTCGATTTGAAGTGCTTGTTCCTGATCTAAAAGGCAATATAGATGGAAGGTTGCTGGAGCCAGAGTCCAGATTAATTTTAAAAAAAGAATAACGTACTTCTACTCCATTAATAGTTATTCACAGACAGAACTGGGTATCCAGCTGAAAAACAGCCTCGCTGGAAGAAGAGATTTTGCAGCAAACCAAGTGGCTTATTTGATTTTTGACACAAGAGTACTACAGCAAGAATTGCTTCACTAAACATCTCAAGCCAGTACCTTAAACTTAGAGCCAAGCTCTGATCTGCAAGTATTTGTATACTTGTAGAAGTTTCCTAATGGAGTAATAGAACTGTCATATGCAAACTGTCATACAGCCATAGGACAACTGTCAGGCACAAGCACTTGTAGGACGAGGGTCAGAAAGCATGTTGGGTGGAAGACACTTCTGGAGGTCATCTAGAGCAACCCTGCTCAAAGCAGAACACATTAACACCAGGTGGCTCAGGGCCACATCCAGTTGAGTTTTTAGTATCCTCAAGGATGAAGATTCTATAACCTTTCTCAGCTTCTGTTCCTATTTCTGACCACTTGTATGGTGACAATTTTTTCCTAACCTTAATTTCCTACAGAAATTGTCTCTTGCCCCTTTGTTATCCCTGTGCCCTCTGAGATGGGTCTGGCTCCATCTCCACTCATTATATAATTCAGGACAGTAAAAAGGTCTCCCTCAGCTTTCTCTTCTTAAAGTCATGCAAACTCTGCTCTCTCTTTTCCTACCCCCTGTGCTCCAGCCCTCTGATCTTGGTGGCATCTACTGGACTCACTTCAGTGTGTCAAAGTCTTTCTTTTACTGGGGTGTCCAAACCAGGGTACAGAACTCCAGATGTGGTCTTATAATAACTGAAGATAAGGGAAAACTGAGTATCCCAACCTGGTGCCTTCATTTTACTAGTGCAGCCCCAGATGCAGTTGGTCCTCTCTGCCACAGTGGCACAATTCTGGCTTTTGGTCAGCCTGCTTTGGAACAGGATGCCCACCCCCTTTCCTGAAAAATATTTTTTCAGCTAGTGCTACTGCATGGGGTTATTCCAGCCCAGACAGAATGCCAACTCAAACTTGCCCTTTTTAAATTTAAAATTGTTTAGTTCAGCTCATTCTCTTGCCTGTCAAGGAACATTTGAATAGCAGCAGTGTCCTCCAGGACATCATAACCTACCTGGAAATACACACTGCTCTGGATGGAAGCGGGTATTCTGAAAAATCAGGCTCCTTACCTTTGTAGAAGCAATAGACTTTACAAACTGTACTGTTTGATTCCCTTTACTCTGAACATGCAGCATGCACAGACTGCCAGCATTCTGAATGTCTTACGAGTACAGGACTGACGCCTCTTTTGCCTTCTCTGGGTCTGAGCTCCTTCTGGCATCTCCCAGGACTCATCAGGCCCCCATCTGACGGGTTTGGTCAGTGCAAGAGGGGAACACCAGGAAGCACCTCGGCCACAGCCCAGAACGTGGATGCATTTGAACTAAAAAACCCCAGAGCACACAGGGACAGAGCAGAGGGACAGACTGACACTGAACCGAGACAGCAGGAAATGTCACAGCTCACTGCAACAATGCTGGCAAAGTTCAGATCAGGAATGTTTAACTACTTTATATTAATAAGAAATCCTGGAACAATAAAACATAAGGGAAATCCTTTCCAAAATTTTGTTCCATTACAGATCAGTGTTTTCACTGAACACTGGATGGAAACAACTTTTCTTGAAATAATAGTTTCTCATCACATAAAAATTCTGTTATCTTTGTTTTTTAAAGCCAGTACTAGACTAGTAAGAATAGTGTAATTTACTGTCAAGAAACAACCATGATTTCTCATGAGAGTTTAAAAGGGAAAAAAGTTCTGTCGCACAATGATTCAAACAGATAAATGTTATGACACATTTCAAAGGCTGACATCAAAGCAATTTTATGTAGACCTCTTCGTAAATAGTTACAAATAACAGGCATGACAAAAATATGACAGTTCCAGTATTTTAATATTTAATGTCCAATTTAAACATAAGTGTTCAAAAGGAAATATTTTTACACCATTTCAGTAGCCACTTAGCTCAGTAGTTGGTTGCAATAATCTTTAAATTTTTCAGGTACTGGATGGAATATAAGCACAAAAACTCCCATTAAAGTTAATGCATGACAAAGTTCCACTGTAACCCTCTGAAAAGCAAAGAGTTACATCAAAAGAAATTCAGACACTGAAGTACATTGAAATGTATTGTGTCTTACAGTAGAGTTTGTTACTCCACTGGTCAGAGACATGATGGTAACTTCAAAAGGCACTCTGAGATAAACTACAGTAACCCCGGTCTACGAGCATTTTAGAATCTTGGTATTGTGCAGTAGAAAAAACCAAACCCTATAATCATATATAAATTACTTTTATCTCTGTCCTAGCTCCAGGGTAGTCAAATTATATTGCACTTTTAAAATATTCTGTGTAGGCTGTGATAAAAATCTAATATTTACATGATGTGTTTGTTAAAGAACAACGCATTTCTTCGTAAAATATTTTAAGAACCAAGTTTTAACACTTATTCTTGTATTAATTAATATAACCAGAGGCTACATCAAATATATATTTTTTCTTAGGTCCTATTCTAGAAACATTTTTGGTCCTTCCTTCAAAAAATTTTTTATGCTGCAATTCATGTTCATAAGTGGTATTAATACTTGCCTGAAATTGCAGTACTTAGAATATTTAAATAAATAAATATATAATTTCTAAAGAAGCAATACCTTTGGAGTTTTGTAAACAAACTGCTGTGGAAAGTCTGTAACGAGACTCAATTTGGCATGTTATGACTTTAATTGGCAATAGTTTACAGTTATACAATCTCTGCCAGGATAGAAATCAGTATGGTAGGCACATCTTATAAATCAGTCTGGAAAAAAAGACCCAAAAAATACTAATTGTTTCTTAGGTTGTATGAATAAATAAAAATGGTCAGAGTAACATGATCCACTGAAACCAAAACTGACATTTGTGGGATCTGTAGTGGGGGGAAAAGAAAAGCAACTCTATTCTTTTTTAAATATAACCTAAAGGAAATGAACAAGCTGTAAATGAATATATGATAACCAAGATGTACAGGACACAAAGGTTGGCAGAATAAAAAGAGCATTATAAATTTATAGAAATACTGATCTACAGAACTAGTCTCTTAGCTGCATCTCACCAGAAGACAATCATCATTCATTTTTCAATCCAAATTTGAAGAAACATTCTGAATCTGTGTTTGATAAAACAAAGTCAGTGCAAAGCACCAGCTCTGATGAAATTTTGCTGACATGTAGGCTGGCCTACATTGCTGTTCAAACACGAATGGTAATATAAAAGAAACATAACAGATGCACAGTTATGCCACTTACACATAAATATATGTATCTGCGTGTTCTAGAAATTCAAATGCTGTCAGGAGGTCTCACAGGCTGCGTTGGATATATTTTATATAGTACAGTTGTAGTTTACATGTTCAAGCACATGACATACCCCAAGTGCTCTCCATGAGCACCCTTGTGCTGCTCCAGAGTTTTTAATTCTGCACTGAATAGCCTTCTTTTGGTTTTCATCACTGGAAACTGATGGTTCAAGAGAGCAAGGAGAAGCTACTCACAGGCTTTTGTGGAAAACACAGGATTTGCTCTTTAAGATAGTTACTGATTGGTGAAATGATTAAATGTTTCTGTTCAAAACCAAGAACCATGTTGGTAAGCTTGCTGTTAGTAGAGACCAAAGGCTGGCACAGTATCTAATCTAAAGGCCTGTGTAGTTATTGGAGCCTTCAAAGGGCAAATAGAACCCTTTCTTGTTGCCCCTAGAGATGTTTCCGAATTTGGTAATAAAAACTCCTTTCCTTCCCTTTTCTCCAAAGCAGAGAATTAGAGGAATATCCAGTGCTACACCAAATTAATCCTCTGTCCCATCACTAATAAACTGCATACCTTGCAAGCAAAGGTCAAGGTTGTTTGAGAGGCAGAAAACAAAAATTAATATCAAGAATTAATACAGTTCATTAAATAACTACACCATGTGATTTGTCCATAAGTTAACAGTTAAGCTGCAACTGTACTATATAATACATATTAAAATTAATTGTAACTGGGCTAACAGCCACATTTGCTTTTTTCTTGCTCCTCATTGAGTTGTTCTGTAGAGCTGTGCCCATTGGAACGCACCACCCCTTCAGGGATCCAGGATTTATCCACACACCGCTCCATGCGCTTCATAATGAGGTCAAGCAGAGTTTCAATGGCTTTGCTGACATTATTCCCATTAGCTGCACTGGTTTCAAAGTATGGTATTCTGCAGGAGACAAAGAATACAAACTTGCTTCACACAGTTTATACTCACAGGAGAACAAAACAATACAGATTACTGTCCCATACTAAGTGTCTTTTTGCTGTGGAGCAGCAGTGACAGCCTTTGTGTGATTTCTAAGTGCTCTGCTCTGAAATGCAAAAGAAATTAATGAAGTGGCTGTCTCTGTAAGTAGAGCACAAGGGTAAGCCTTAATGGAGTCCACAATTTACAGAAGCACTGGTCAGTATGAGTTATGCTCCTGAGGTCGGTTTTTTCAGCTCTGTTCCTTGGAAGAGATGCAATTATTTTCTAGGTCCTTGTACGCATTAAGTGTTCTCCTTACTGATTTCTATGCACATCAGCTCTGGAGTCCTTGCAAGAGAGGGACTGCTGGTGTGGCTGTTCCTCTGCAGGCAAGGCTGCAAAGACTTAGTGTGGTACCTTATCACTGCACAAGGTGATTGTTTCTTCTGCTAACACCTTAAATCTAAACTTTTCTATAAAATCTCAGTGCTCAGACCACCTATGTCTCTGTAAACAAAAGTTTCTGGCACCCTGTTATTGAAAATACCCTGCTTATTTTCATTCTTGTTGTGGATCAGGATGTTCCAATGGCAGTTTCAGAGGCTGTGACCAGCTGCACTTAGTGGTCCCCGCAGTGAGGGGTTACAGCAGCTACACTGGCATTACTGCCCAGGAAACTGAGATCATCACTTCAGGATTTTCAGTATTTCTTACTTAATTTGCAAGACTCACTGAGTGCTCAAAAATATCTCACTGTCTCAGTCTGCTGCAATCATTTTTGAATACATCACTTAGCAGTACAAGGCCCTTCACAGAAAGGGGATGCTCATTCACACTTTTGGTACCAGAAAACTGTTCACTGCAGCAGGATTTGTCTTGCTTCCCCTCAAGAGAGAATGACTGCTAGCAGCTATCCTGTCTCATCTCTACAGGGCAGAGAACTCTGTAACTGCCTGAGGATTGGATGTGATCCACAACCTTGACTTTTAGCTCCCTATTCCTTAATTAAGTTGGCATTTTCAGTCACAAAGACAAATATTTCATAAATTATTTCCAGAAGTCACATGCAAAGAGATTTAAGAAATAGTCACATTAAGAATGGAAGCAGCATGACACAATAGGAGAAGAGCTGCAGAACAAGGTAGTTTGGACTGAGGAGCCAGTGCTCACACCATGCGTGTTTTGTGGGCTTTGCTGTGGAGCAGTTCTCATCTATTCCTCCAGACTGAACACAGATTACTGGTTGGAGCACATCATGCAGCTTAGTTTCCAGTTGAGAAGGAATCCAGTTCATGTGCCAGAAGGCTGCTCCACCATGTGAATCAAACCACAATAAAAGCATCAGAAGATTTCCTTCAGAAGGGCCTTTCTGATTCCTAGTGAAGTGCAAATATAATCTGGAGATGAGCCCCATGAAAGAGTTAATGGGGTATAAAAATACTCTGGGGTTAATTAATATTTCATAGGAACAAAGATTTCACATACTTCCTTCAGGGACATATGACCTGTGCCTGTAGGGAAGGGGAAGGGCAAGGCTACCCTGGTCTTCCTGCTGTCTCTGTTTTCAGACTCCCTGGGAACCTGTGAGAGTGCAGATGCCTCAGCACAGGCAAGAGCTAAGAACCCATTATTCACCTGCCTCTCACTAAATTCTACCTCTTTTCCAGAATGTCTGTGAAAATTTATTTTGTTTACTGCCAAGGAAAGAAGATTAACCAATCTCCAGTGCAAGATTATTGCAATACTAAGTATTTATTTTTTAACAATGCAGAACACATTAATCTCTGACAGAAAAAAAAGACACCATACCAGCCAGTTAAACATCCTAAAATGCTTATTCTCACAGCACTTTCAGTGTGCAGAAAAAAAGCATTACAGAAAATATTTCATTCTGCTTTTAAAGACAGCAATAATTGGAAGGAAGTTACTTACCCATATTTTTCTGCAAGTTCTTTAGCCTCTTCTTCTTTCACCATCCTTTGGTCTTCCAGATCACTCTTGTTTCCACATAACACAATGTCAGGGTTTTCACAATACGCGTGCATTTGTAGCTGACCTGAGAGCCCCAAAAAGAACAGGGATCACAACACAGAGCTCACTCCAACCACCACAAACCAAGTGTGTTCTCTGACAGCTCACAGCACTTCTGCTTGGCTCTGAGGAGCCAGGGACCCACTGCCACCTACCCAGTGAAAAACCCAGAAAAACAGAAGCCTGACAAATTCAGCACAGAAACTTGTGCATTTGCAGATTAAGGAGTTATGCTCATTAAGCATCTCCAGTGAGCTGCCAGGAAAGAGTGTACTTCCCTCTCCTTATGGAAGATGCAGTTTGGGAACCTCTTTGCCTACTTATATGAGTAGCATATAAATACCAGTAGCATTTGCCTTCCATTAAGTCTTGCTGACAAAGCTTCAGGTGAGTCAAAATAAGGCTTTCCACACTCTTAAATTACTGAACAGCACCAGAGCCAGGGGTATGATGTTCTCTCAGCTTGCTTTTATATAGTTTAAGATTCAAGTTTGGTAGGCAAAGCTGAATTTCAGGTGAGCCCTAGAAGCCATCACCAGCAGCTATTACAATTACAAATGCAACATTTACATTCTTTTATTGAAAAAGTGACAAAACCCAGTATTTTAAGTTCTATTTCTCAGTGAAACTCCACATTTATAAACATAACCCCCTCCCCACCCATGTAAAGAAAGAAAGGAAAAAAAAAAAAAGCCATACTTATCCAGTTCCTGACATTCAGAAAGCTTTGCTCATTTGTCAGATCAAAGAGCAGCAGAAAGCCCATGGCATCTCTGAAGAAAGCCGTTGTCAAGCTACGAAACCTAGAGCAGCAAAGTGAAATTAGATGGCTCATCTGACAAGTTACTTTGAAAACATAATTGTATACAGTTAATATGAGGTAACTTAAGACTGAATTAACTAGAATGAAATTTTCGTAATTGTTTTGCTGATGCAGGGACTGTGTAACAGGAATTGCTAACACTGCTGGGGCCTAAGCAAGGCCTAAGGAGTCAAAGAGACTGGAGTGTGAGAGCTTTAGACTAAGGCTTCTACTATAAAGCATGCCTTGATCAAGATTCAGAGATTAAAATAATAAAGAAATTCTAACTTTGAACAGAAATTTATCCCCTAAACACATCAGTTCTTCATTTGAAGATGAACAATCACAAGGATTCTAGTCTTTTGATAGGCAAATAAAAAAGAATTCTTTGAGATGATTTTACCTGTCTGACTTTCCCAAGCCCTCAACATATTTACAGAAATTAAAGAAAAACTTGAAAAAGCTTTAAAAGCATCTATATTGGCCATGAAGAAAGTTAACTGAAAGTTTACAAAAGACAAAAAGCAAGAATTACAGTTTTCATGTCCTGCAGTTGTAAATTATAGTTATAATTTCATAGGTATTCACAGGAAACTTTCCATCAGCGTTACTGTAAGCACAGGTTCCCATCTTCAGTCATACCTTTCCTGCCCTGCAGTGTCCCAGAGCTGGAGATGTATTCTCTGTCCTCTGCCCCCAACACCATCCGGCCCATTGGGTCTATACACCTGAAAAAGGCAAATTTGTTACCAGTCCAGCTGCTACAGAACACAAAATAACTCATGTTTGAAGTCATTAAATGCAACAAAAGCAGCACTGCCAATGCAGAGATCCCAACTACAACTCAATCCCTTTGCTTTATAAGAAAAAAGTAATATAAGTAGCATTTTTATTTTGTATCCAATTTAATATTTAAAAATAAGGGCAAAAGTGAATTGGAAAAGCAGTCTCCAATAGACTACGGCCTCCAGAGCAGCCATGAGATAAGATTAATTTTAGTATTTTGATTTTATAGGGTTTTTTTACTATTATCCTGTATCATGTTCAAATGAAAATGTAAGAAAGCAACAATGCAATCTGGCAATGTATTTCTGCCACCAGCAGAACCTCATTAGCAAACAGATTCATGGAGATAATGACAGCTCTTCTTAGCTGCCAAAAGACTGCTGGAAAATTGCTGAGGGTAGATCTTATCACATCACAGCTTATAAAGCAGAAATTGCATGATAATAATAAAAGCTGAAGAGTTTACTCAGCATGAAAATATAAATAAGGGCATCTATTAATCTTGGAAGGATCAGATAAAAATAGATTCATTTCTTGCTTAGGAAACTTCATGTTAGGTCATCGTCTTTACCTTCAACTGCCATTGTACCTAAGACTACAAGAGTTCCAAACATACCTTTAAAGATACATAATCTTGCTGAATTTGTGGATTATAAAATTCAGGCTGCGAAACCTAAATCTTATCCTGAGTTATCAAATGCCGATCAAGCAAACACACCATGTTTACTCTCCCACAAAAGGAATACTGACTTATTCAAGAGACCAGTTTGGCATTTTCATTAAGATAGTTACCCCTCACATGACTGTGGTGCATGTCATGCATCAAAAGCCAGTCTGCACGATGCCTCCTGCACTGTCCAGATTTCTGGACACTTGGGAAATCATCAGGCATTTAATATTTGTACAGAAGAATGAAAAAACAACTGGTGCCAACTCCACTTCCCAGAGCAGTAAGGACCAGCATCCAGTTGGTTATCATAACACATTGCTCAGCTTCGTATCAAAGGTACATTTGCTCAGTTTAATAACAACTCAGGTTAAAAACAAACAAACAAACAAACCACAAACCCCTTATTTTTGACAGTTCTTCTCTGGTAGTGGTGACAGCTTAGGAAGCCAGATCATCTGCATGTATCATGCTATCCCATTTCATCCACATTATAAAATGGTTTTAAAAATCAACACCACAGCCTTTGTTCACTGGCCATTTCAGTTCACACACAGCAAAAGGCATTTTTACTACAGCGCAGTTCCTCCTTGTGAAGGGAGTTCAACAATAGAAGTGTTATAACATAACACTCCAGGTGTTATGTGCACAACTCATGGGAGCAGACACTCCCACCAACACCTGCTGAACAGAATGAAGTGGTTTCTTAGAATCAGCTCTTCTTTAACTTTTTGGGGAAATGGGTCTGTACACGCAACAATAACAAAGATCACCAGATAAAATGAGACCCTTACCCTGTCACAAGATTAAGTACACAATAACTATGAATTACATGCCTGCACACAGGGATGGGCAGGTCTGATTATAAACAAATAGACACCATTTTCAAATATCACACTCTTCGTGAAAACTCACCACTCTCTTTTCCCGGAAGTCAATGCCCACCGTTGTGATAAATTTGGAGTTAAACTTGCCATCTGTATATTGGTAAAGAAGGCTGGTCTTTCCTACTCCAGAATCACCAAGTGCTAGAAATTTTATGAGGTAATCATAGTCCCCATCAGACATAGTGAGAATTCAGGAGGCACCTTAAAAAGCAAAACAAAAAGGATGAGTTAGTCACCAGCTCTGCCAGGGCTTCTTTTGACAAACGTTTAAAATACAAATCACTATTTGAACTACAAAGCATCAAGCAGTGGGACCAGTTCCTTTACACTGGCTTCACCTTAAAGTCTCAATTACACCAATCCAATAGCAAATTCAGCTGTGACTGAAAAAGTGCATCTTTAATTTTATTCCATTCCTCTTACTAGAAAGAGAAGGCAACACAATTCTACCTTCTTCAGGAAAGACGGAAAATTAAGGTCAAAGTATTCAAGATATCTGGAACCTGAACTGCAGAACTGATTTTAATCTGTATGGAAGCTTGTAAAAGCTACTTAAAACATACCAGCAATGCAGTTCTGGCCTCACCCTCACTGTGGCATTACTAACACACAAAAAAACCTCACATTTTTCCAGATTGCCCCCCATATTGAAATAAAAATTACATTAATTTTCTACTAATAGCTATTTTTCAGTCTTGAGAAAGCTTTTTCTTGTTGTTGGGTTGTTTTGTTTTGAGGAACAATTTTCAGTTTTTAAAGTTTTTATCATGATGCTAGTTAATCATTCAAACCAAATCTTGATCCTGAATTCCCATTACACAACACATATGTTTTTCCATGGCTCATACACATTTCAGAAATTTCTCTGTTTCTCCTTTTGGTGCCTTTGAAAAAATAACCATATTATGTGTAGTCTGATCTATAAGCAGGAGCAGACAGAATGTGTAATAAAAATCACTGGCAAGTTTCACGTGTACTACAAAGGCTGATGTGAGTGGGTTGGTACTTTCCTGTTGAGTAGCTACTGAGCCTCTCCTCCCCCAAAACAAACAGTAGAGAGCTGCCTTCTGCCGTGTTCAAAGACAAGAACATGAAAAGATAAGCCTAAAATAACCATTCTAAAAGCAACATAAAATTGGCATAAAATTGCCTCTTTTAAAGGATGAAAATAGATACCAAAATACAAAAAAAATTGATGATGAAATAAAATTTTAAAAGAGTAAAATCTGCTGCTTCAACTGTAAATAAGTATTTTTGTAACTACTTGTAGCTTGAACTAGATAAAAGTTATTCATTTCAAGTAAAACACTGCAGTAGTTTGCATCAATGGCAAAACATCAATTCATTTCTTGAACATCAACTCACAGCTTGAGGTTTGGAACAAACTCTGACTCTCAGTATGTTGGTGTCAATCACCACCATTCAGCTAAAACCAAAACTATCTCTAAAGCCTCACCTTGGTGTTAATCCTGCCCTTGGTCACAGAACCGTGACTAGTTGACTCAGCCATGGCCTTACCACAATCAAATGCAGACCATGGTCAGATTTACCCCAGATACTCTCCAACCAGAGTCAGTGGAAAGCTGACTGACTCTTTTTTGCCTTTTTCAGTGCTTAAGTCTCCCTTTCCCCAGCCCAGGCATATTTTACATTATGCCACCAATGCCAGTAAAACCTTGCAGGAAAGGGGTTTTAGGTGACAGAGTTCACACTCACTACTGCACCACAGCTAGCTAATTCACTTCCCCTTGTCGTGCTTTAGCCCAAGTTTTGCAATAGAGCAGAAGATTGAAAGGGTAAACGCTGCAGGAATAGTTATCAGTGAGTTTTCACAGAAATTCACCACAACTGCAGGCCTGCACCCACCACACAAGTCTGAAGGAGCAGCATGTTCAAGTAAGCAAGTTGAACAGGTAGCCACATTGCCATAAGAGCAGTTTTAGAAGAAATTAAAACCCCCGATCCCTTAGGCACACTCACATCTATCAGCAAAAGTGATTTTGAGGGGTTGATTTCGTTTTTTAAATCCTGTCCCCTGCTGGGGAAGGAAAAAGAAGTAAAACCAGATTGCAAACCTTGTAGCCCTACGAAGTCTTTTCATTGAAATGCACTAGAAGAAACGGAAAAATAGTTTAAAAAATAAACAATGAAGGTTTTTTTTTCTAAAGACTGCATTTGATTCAAACTTCCATCTCTTACATGGTGTTTCCTTTGCCCTCAGATGTTCTCCAAGAGCAAAGAGCTGTGTAAACTCACCCTCTACTTAGGCACGTGTTCTTTCAGCTTCGATATCCCTAAATTAATTGTTGCTTTAAAAGACTTAAATGTAAATCTCAGGGCCAGTATATTATACAAAGACAAGCTACCTCCATGCCTTTTACTGTGCTATCCCACCTGTACAGAGGTATTTGCCTTGTCTTATTGGTATTGTTAGCCAACTATAGGTATGTAGAACATACTTTTAACAAAAAGGACAAGTGATAGTGCCACCTCATCACTCCTAATTTATGCTGTAAGAAAGCTAATTTATCATGCACTCTGCGCAAGACCCTACAGAGGAAGGAGGGGCATTACAGCTCTTACATGGAGCTGTAGGGAACTGTTATGTTTCAGCTGCGCCCTTCCACTGGACAGGGCTGGGTTAAAGCTCTGGCCAAAACAGAAAGATCAAGGTTAGACCTTGGGCAAGTAAAACCCAAAGGTATTCCTACTGTCATATCTGACTTGTACTGTCTGATTGTCCAAACATGCCACATCATTCAGCCCACTTAAACCTCAATTCTCTCCATGGCTGGTTACAAATACAATTTCCAGAGGACTGGTAGAAGACCAGGAGCCCTTCACAGGAAGGACATAAAAATGCCTTCTAAAGGATTTGCTTGAGAAGGAAATTTTCTCCTTTGGCTTTTGAAATGCACACACCTCTCACTGCACCCCATAACGTCAATCTATTATTCAAATATCTCCAGGGAGTGGTTCTTGTGAAACCCTGCACAGTTAACCTATCCTTGGAGACATGCAAAGAGCTATTTTCATAGCAGTTTCAAGCCTTGTCCTCCTCCCTGTACAAATATTTAAAAAGTGATCTCCACCCTCTCCTTCCGAGACCTGCAGTCCTAATGTCCAGACTCCTCCAGCTCCACATACAGAAATAAGAATATATTCCCAGCAAAGTACATTCATAGCAAAAACTGCTGGGGAGTTTTTAAAATCATGGCCCTGTTACTAAAACCTCATATCATCTTTTTCTTCCAATTTTGTTGCGTTGTTTGTTTTTTTTTTTAATTAAGCCTTATAGTTCCACACTTTCCAGTTTTTCCTTCCATGTTGCTGTACCTTGCATATCAGGAGAGCAGGCACGAGTTAGAGAAAACTGATGATACAATCAGAATTCATCAGGTCATCAAAAGAAAATCATTCCCAAATCTTGCTCAAAAGAGTAAGAATCCCTTGGTTAAAAAAAAAAATTAAAATCAGGAATGGACACAGTTTTAAGCTCCACAGTTCTGCCTGCTGTAAATCCCTCCTTAAATCCCATTCAGCTCTGGCTTTGCACTTTGCTTGGTATGCAGATGGACAGGAGCTCCGAGCAAGTGCTGGAAAAACTCCACTGGCCTTTTCCTGTGAGCCCTGGCTGACAGGACCCACACAGCCATCAGCAGAGCTGTGCCTGTCCAGCTGCTGCTCTGGAGCCTCCACATACACACACATCCAGACCGTGGCTTATCACGGAGGGAACAGTGCAAAGCAAGCGCTCCTCTTGTTCCCTGGACTTCCTAGTCCGAGGTACTTTCACATCAACAGCCATCAACGTTAACAGGCTCATATTTTTTCCTCCAGGGCACGAATATCCCAACTCTAGTGCATGATAAAACATTCCAGACTATGGCAGTATTGTTTCTGTATGAGTTAAGGAAATTGGCTTGGCATGCAGGATTTCCCCCATGCAGTATGGGAACAGGGAATATATGCTTCCTGAACTGGCCTTAACACAGAACATGCAACTCCTGTGCTGCTGCTGAGCTGATGGAGAGGAGAAGGAAAAAGGAAGAAGGCAAAAGAGGTGAATAAATGAAAACAGAAGAAAAAAAAATATATAATAAAATAAGACATTGAGCTGCAAATAAAAACATGTACACACATACAGTGTATGCCCCTAATCAGACAGTCCTCAAGCACATCAATTTAAAGTAAGGTATACCACTTACCCCAAACTCTGCTATAGGAATAGTTAGCACACTGGAGATATTACTTCCAGTAGGAGTATTTTTCTAGCACCACCTCTTTAGCACACAGCCAGGAGGCTTACGTGTCACCTGTTTGCACTGAGCTGATGGGTGCTCAGAGATAAAGAGGTGTGCCTCATGTCTCTGTGTCTAAGGAGGGTGCTGCCTGACAGCAGGGCTGGGAAGCAATTACACAGTTCACATGTCCCATTTATTCCTAGAGGCAAACAGCATTTCAAGAGAGATTTGTGCAGGGCCTACCCAGAAGCAGATCTAAAGTTTCTGTGAAACCACCCACACACCTTAATACAATTACACCGTTCCTAACAAGGGTCTTCATACAAAAATGCATTAATGCTGGATTATATGGATCACAGATGTTCAGTTCCATTCACAGCTCTACAATCCTTTATCTCAGGTGTGAGGAGGATACAGCAGTCTTTAATGTAAACTGATCTTTTATTGCTGTAGAGGCTGCAGGCTTGTTGATTAGAGGGTTGACATGGGCACTGGGGGAAGAGGACTCCAAATCCCACACAGACAGAAAAGGGAGATCCTGCAGATCTCTCAGTGGATAATGTGTAAATACAAGCACATTGGCAATAATGTATTTAGACAGATTTGATCATTCTGCAAGTCCACACAAATTCATACTGCAGAAGTTTTTCACCCAGGCACTACACAACCTTGAAACAACTTCAACAGCTGTTTTATGTGTCACTTCATCTGTCACAGCAGAAGAACTGAGAAAGTGATCTGGACTTGTAAGTTCACTAATCCTGTCACACCAGCACTCCCATGATACTCCAGCAAAGCAGTAACCACATTCTTGCCTAGCGTGGGTGAGCAGAGAGAACGGCCTCACCCTGCTCCAAGGCTCCAGCAGCACCTTAGTGCTTGAAGAACTGGTCACCACCAGCCACTTGCCAGCTCTGTTGAAACAAGGGACAGAGTTAAATCATGTTCCTGCTTAGT